ACCTACTGAGGTGTATGCTTACCCAAAGCTGTATTCTGGCCGACAGGCAGTCAGGTATATTAATGCAGCGTATAAATTGTCTTTTGGCTTATCTGAACAACTTGTGCGCCAAAAATGCATTTGTCAGAAGTTACTTAAAGACGGCGCCGACACAGCCCAAAGCTTCGTGCTTAATTGGAAACATAATAAATGAGTAAGAGACTCGAGCTGAAAGTGGAAACAAGTCAAAAGCTACACAGAAGACTTTAGAAATTGTGAACATTTTCAAGTCCTTTGCTTTAAGTTAAAAAAGTTTGGCGAAGCTTTGAAGTGTTTATAAGGATTTATTAGTTGTTGAGTGTATTTACTAAATATTATTTAGCTATATTTCAATTTTATATTTTCCATAACCAAATTAAAGATATTTTTCCATAAGAGTTTTTAAAATCAGTAAAAAAAAAAGGAAATTAAATTTAAGCGGACTTAAATGCTACCATCCGTATCAATCTCCGTACTCCACAAAACCCCTATTGGAAATACAACTTTTGAGGTTGTATTTTATCATTATTCCAGTGCTAAAAGTTTATACAGCAGTGTACAAATTGATGTCATATGCACAAACAAACAAACATGCATATAAACTACATAAGGCATATACACTTCTTAGTTTTCATTAAAAGTTCTGCATGTTTACCATGACAACGATGCGTGGGCAGAACAGTGCGGGGTCCCGTTGCGAGAGTGGGAAAACACTGTAAGTTCCTGACTGTGTCACGCCCACTGCTAAATACAATGAAAAAAAAAAACAAAAACAAAAAGTAAAACAAATTATTCAGGATGGGGATGCGCAATGCACAGCAAATGGCAAAAAGTCGCTGGCTGAATGTTTATTAATTTGTTTTTCCTGTTATTGCAATAGTTTTTGTTGTTGGCTGTTACTAGTGTTTAATTTGTAACTTGCTTTGCACAGTTGGTTGGCCCAAGTTTTTCTGACTTTGTCAAATGACATTTTCAACATAAAGAAATAGAAATTGCAGCGAAAATAGGAGAAATATTAGCAGCGCTGTCAGTCTCATAATATTTATAATTCATATGTAACATTTCTATATAAATCTGTTTGTCGTGGATAGAGCTGAACACTGTAGATACCTTATGTGATGTAGGTGTACGTTAAGACGGGTTTTCGGAAAATTCCACCGGCATGTGTGGAAAACGCGAAAAACGTTTGTAGTGAACTCTTTTATTTACCATCCGATCGGCCTGAAGATCATTTTCAAAGATCTTTGTTCAAATCTATTTGAGGGGTGTTTTCACACTTCTCAAAAAAAGCAGCCATCCATACAAATCTCTACATAGGAACCTAATGAATATGTATTTTTTCTAATCTATTTGACACGATCATCACAAAGTTCACCGCTCTTGGATTAAAACTGCGGGTTTATTAAATGAAAATTGAATTTTCGGCTTCAAGATTCTCACCACAAGACTAACACGACTACAACATTTAATTTCCTTTGATGCACTTGAAACATATTTTTGAATAGAAGATTAGATCTAGGCAGCTTGGGTAGATTTTAAGTATCCACGGAACCAAACTTTTCTTTTACAAAATCACTTTACACAACGTCACTATAAGAGTTAATCGGGTTAAACATTAGCAAAACTTGTGACACTCTAACAACGACCTTTCACAATCAAGAACAGACACACTTAATATAAAAAACATACAACGGGCAGTTACTCATATTAATATTTTCTTAATCGCTCTGAATAAGAATTTGCAAATAACATTGTGATAATATACGCTAAGCTTTTTTTAACAGCGACATTTAAACAATGTTGCGTATTTAACAAAATTATAGAAGTGATAATAATCAAATGAGCACTTCAGATATCTAAGATTTGCTCAAATCGAAGTGAAGTTGTTTAAAGCCACATTCATTACTAGTTTTCCCCCTCGTCTCAAATCCGCACAATTTTACAGTCATCTGATATTGTTTAATTATGTAAATGCTATGCACTTTAACAATGCCATTTAAAATTAATTTTCAATTAACTTGCAACTGCCGCCGAGCAGAAACAGGAACATTAACAGAAATTCCAGGCGCTCAAACGGAAATATTTTAAATGATTCTTGCTGTAAAGCTGAGCGAAAAACTTTTGCACTTCTCTTAATAATTGGAGTTCTCTGGGCTTTTGTAGCTGCCAATTAATACAATGGGCGCCCATTGTGAATGATACTAATTTCCATTTGGATCTGGCCGACTCAAGTAAGTGGCCAAACAAAAGGCTCCCGTTGACAGTTTTCGCCACCTGAGCGCGTCTCAATTGAAAACTCAAATGCCAACTAGGAATTCAAGTTTCCAGTTAACCCCGGGCAGCCGCAAAAGTAACTACCACAGCGATTTTAACTTTCAAATGTCAATTGTAAGTGCGGTTTCCCATACCTATGTATATACGAGGGTGGGCTAAGAACTTTCTGATCTGAGAATAAAAGAAAGCTGCACTCATTTTATCAACATCTTATGTATTTGAACAAAGAAAATTCCCATGAGTTTTAAAATCGACTCGAATATGCATTATGTACACCAAGCAATTAATACGCAATCGATCAATCTCAGGATTCTTTAAGAAAGAAAGGAATGCAATACATTTCTTGGTTGAATCGTAACATAAGGTAACTAAAGTATGAATGTGAGCTAATTACCCATCAGTCAGTCAGTCAGGATAAACAGTTTTTATAAAGAGAAGTCCTCAAGTCCTCAACTAGACTAAATCAAATAGGTGGCAGCTCCGACATTTACGTCTGCCTGTCCATCGGTCCATCTGCCTGTCAGTCCGTCCGTATGGACAATTCAATGTTGAATACACGCAAGTGGTCAATTTCAAGCGTGAAACTCTAGTTTATTACGATACATATTGTATATATTTGCTTGCTGCCATTACTGGCAATTTGTGCGTCTGCCGTTTGTTACTTAACGCTAACTTTGTCGATTAGGAGAAGGAGATCACGGGAGTTGTCTGTGTTTCAATTATGGGACAGTTGTACCAGTTGAGGGATTTTTGCGAATCGTTGTCGCTTGACTGAGATCAGATTAAAGTTTGCCAAAGCAATAGACGAGTCGCAGCACCTGCGAGCCCTGGCCAAGAGCCAGCTTCCACATCTCCCATCGACTTGGCTGGTTAAGATAGACAAAAAGGTGGGAGAAAGATTTCTATGTGTGTTGAAAAAAAAAAAAACATCAAACTTTGTCCAGCATAGAAATGCCCAACACAGCTCTCATCTAAGCCACTAGCCATGGAAATGTAGTTGGACTCACATAACCTGAAAGTTAGTTCAAATGCGCACTGAATAGATTTACAAGTGAGTGTATGAATGCACGTACTGATGTACATGCGAGTGTATGCATGTGTAGCATAAAGTTTTAAAAGTCTCACATTTGAGTGTTCTAATGATATGCTAAACTGCCAAACGAGAGGTCCTGCCTCAAGTTTACCTAGCCCTGCTCGTGTAGCCCCCTCTTCCCATTGCCTGCGGGCCAAATTGTTGCAATTTTAAAAGTTTATCATCAACTGATGCGGGTCAGATTGCCAAGTCCCCAGCTATAGTATACGCTTAACATTAGTTGGGTCCTGCACACAAAAAACTTGCGGGCACAGTTGAGAACATTTGGAATGGCACGAATATTTAATTTGCCTACTGAATATACACAAGTGTGAGATCTATCAAAGGGTGGTCGTTTATTTAAGGATGAGCGGACAGCCGTTGACTTACTGTAAGCAACAGACCATGCAATAAGGAAATAGGGTAGTCTAATAATCAAGTAGGGAAAAGCACTAAAGCTCAAAAGCTGTAGAAATGAGGTTGGAATGCGTAACACAAATGCTTTGAATCAGTTGAAAAGCAGCTCAAGTAGGTTTGAAAGTGGTTTGAGACACAGGTTTAAATTGCTTAAGTGGCCTAACAACTATTAAAAATAGCTTTAAGAACCGATTCCCGGCTGTTAACAACAATTTTAAATGCGATTAAAGACCATTTTAAAATGAAGGTACAGGTAAAGTAAACTAATTTAAACTGGCTTGATCGTTCTTTAATTCAAATTCTAGCTTGACATTGAAACAGCTTTCAAAAATATAATTCATATTTGCTTCTGTTTATATCTAGAACCTATTAAAATTGGGTAAAAGAGGCATAATATATTTGTGCAAATGTATGTAACAGTCAGAAGAAAGCATCTCCGACCCAATTCAGTATATATATTCTTAATCAGCATCAACAGCCGAGTCGATCTAGCCATGTTAGTTTTTTGTCTGTCTTTCCGTTCTTCCGTCTGTCCGTATTTATGAACGCAAGGGCATTAGAACCTATAAGAGCTAGACTCTAGAGAAATTTTGAATGTAGGTCCTCATAGTGCCCGAGCAGTTTGTTTCCGATAATCGATAACTTGCCCCGTTTCCAAGTAATCGATCAAAATCGATATCGAAATCCAGTTTTTGACCAATAGTTTTTTGGTCAATAAGAAGAGTTAGAATCACCAAACTTGACATGTTGCTTCTAGAATAGTATGTATATATTAAATATCTTTCATTTTATAGTAATCAGAGAACATACATATATTTCATAGTTCAATAAGATCTACTGTTGAAAATTTCATCAAGATCGGTGCAGAAATACAAAAGTTATTAAAGAAAATGTGTTTGGGCATAATTTTTTTGCAAGAATTCCTATATACACAAACACATTTATACGCGTCTTGTTTGAACTCTATCAATAGCAATGCAATTGCGATTGAAACTGCTTTAGGGAAAATTTAACATTTAAAGTAATAAAAACCAATATTAGAGGAATCGAAATATGTTTTCAGATATGCCCCACTCCAAATATTCTTTTTTGCCAGCACGTCAGTTTCATTTATTTCAATTATACCAGAAAACAGTCCTCTTTTAAATTTTTCGGTATATAAATATTGAAATTAATTTGTTTTTTGTTTCACTTTTTATTGTATTGATTTATTACTCACCTTGCCCAAATTGACGAAACCATGTTCCTTGGCAACGGCATCGGCGATACCATTGTCATCACCGTTCGGTATGTGGACCGCCCAGGTGTGCGTATAATGGCCAGCACCCCCGCCAGCTGCGCGCCCACTCCTGGGGCTGCCACTGCTGCTGCTGGCTGCGCCCGTTTCATAGTCGAGGATATAGGGCGGGAGCAATGGCGACTGGGCGTGACCGGGCTCCACTTTGGCCGCGAAACCGACATTAAAATTACATAAGAAAACTACGATACTAAATTGCAAAATCAGCAGCATTGCGGTCGACGTCGACGTCGCAGTCAGCGACCACGTACGCGTCGCCAGCGGCGTCGGCGTCGACGTTAACGTCGCTTTTGACCATTCTGGATGTCTGCTGCGAATGCGTTTCGTTTTGTTGTGCGTTAAAAAACTATTTTTGAATAAATTGCAATTTAAATTAAAATTGAAATTTGTTATATCACATTCAACGATTGTTTGTTGCTCTTGTTGTTGTCCTTGCTGCAAGGAGGAAATGGTTGCAGCAACACTTGCAGGTGTTGATTTGGGCTGACAAAAAGTTCTTCTGCTTACAACATGTTGCCGAACTTTATGCAGTGCGTTGTTTTTGATGCGTCCTTGATGATTGTGTTTGTTGTTGACGTTGCAATTGATGATGCTGCTGCTGCTGCTGTTGTTGTTGCAATTGTTGCTGTTGCTGATGTTGTTATTCGGCTGCCTCCTCCATCGCACGACGTCGTTTTTCATTGTGCGTTCGATTTTTGTTATTTTATTAAAGGCGTGTCTGCTTCCGTATGTGAGCTACTTTTATGTTTTTGTGTGTGTAAATGATTTGATTGCTGCTTCGACAATGTTACTTTCTTCTTAACGTAGAGTAGCTACTGTAGACGCTTTACTGTCGGATTTAAACTGCAAGAAAAACAACATAATTGAAATTTGCATTACTATTCGATGAAACCCAGTTGGTAAATACTTAAAAGAATTGACATTTTCTGACATTTAACTAAAAGTTAAAAAATTTCAATTAAATTTGATTTTTACATTTTTCGTAGAAACAAACTTCAAAGCAAAAGGTCTGCGGCTTGCCTTTGGACAAGGCGTTTCAGGTATTTATCAGATGTATGATATATTTCTCTAGTTAATATGTTAGCAGATTAAAAGAAAGTATTTACACATAAACAGTGGCAGTATAAATCCAAAGCCGAGCGACTTATTTGCCGGGACACCTACACTTAGACAGGCCGCTTACCCCATTTTATCCAGTTTCCTTACTAACCAACTAACATATCATTTAGTTAGCAGAAGCTTTAAGCACATAGTTGGCCAAAGGACAGTTCGCGAGACAAATGAGAAAAAATAAGTGCCTGCCAATGACACATTCAATTTGTTAACAAATATTTTTTTACAAAAGATGCCTGTGTCAAGACCCTCGGACAAATCTCGGCTCATTAGCAGGCAACTTATGACCCACAAATGATATGCGACATGGTACTCAGAAAAAGAAGAGCTCAAGGCGTATTTGATGACAATTGTGGGCAGTGAGTTGGGCAGAATATTTTTTCTTTGGAATTGGCTACCATTTAGCTAGCAGGCCAAATCCCATTGATTGCCAACCAGGCCAAACAGTTGTTGACATTGCAAATGAGGCGCCGAAATTGGCCAACTAGCTTTTGACTAATGCCACTGTGCGAAAAGTGCCCATGACTGATGATGGCCTAGAGGCTAAACAGCTAACAGCCAACGGCCAGAGCATTGATTGTCATATTTCGACGGGAATTGTGATCGGGTAGGACGATTTCTGGGTATGCAGTCAGCGCGTAATTAAAGCCATGTGGACAACGGAAATGGCTAGCTCAGCCAGCACCACCCTCAAGGCCAGGGCATCATCAGCCGAACGGATATTGTGGTGTGCGACGTTTGGACATGGTAATCAATAGTCAAGCGGATAGGAAATTCAATTTTCATGCGACAATAGAGGCATTCAATATGCGCGGGGGGATGAGCCCGAGATACGAGTGGCTGACAAAATATTTGACAATTTTCCTGCTCAAGTACCATTGTCAGAAATGTTTAACAAACGAATGTTTTTTTTATATACATTTTTTAAGAAATAAGCACATATATAATATTCGAGAATTTTACGGATCCTGCCAAAAATGTATTGTTAAATAAAGTTTTCAGTTAAGAAAGACTCCAGGTACAAGTCGTAATCCTTAGATCTCATTCGAGATCCTTAATGTTGTCAGTGTTGAATAACGAATCTGCTTCAGTTTAAAACAAAATGTAAATTGTGGCTTGGCTATCGATAGAAAGTAAATACAGACGGAATATGCTACAGCTATTCTCTTCGAAATATACTACTGAACCGCCAACCTATATTTATCGAGCTTGGGACACATATGCATTTGAATAGATATGGTTATATATAGTAAAAAAAAAAAAAAAAAAAAAACAGTGTAAGTGGATGCGAGTGTATATCTTATTCAAACAGCAGTAGGTTTATATGCATAGGAAACCGAGTCGTTTGAAATAAAAGCAGTTATTGGCCGCTCTTAGTTCCAAGGTATTTGCCAATTCGGTACAGTTATGTCGTCATTAGCCTGCGACAACAAGTGTTTTAGTCAACTCTGATCCTCCTTGAGCTTGGGAGCACATGGAGCTTAGATGGGTTTAATTTCTGCCAAGCGCGTTGCTAGTAGAATACTATAATAGTGTTTACTTAAGAGATTCCTTTACAAATTTGAAATACATCACCTGAAACCTTTATTTATATTACAATCTATAAAGCCTTTCAATTCAGCAACTAATCTTTACGCGTTCTGATTAAACGCTCAGTTATCTTATCCTTCTCAAGAATAAATATGCTAGAGCCCCAACCACTGACCGCATCACGATTAAAGGATCCCAGCATTGCCTGTGCAATCGTCTTAAAAAGTTCAGTTGCATTTAGATTCGGGCTCCAAACGCTCTCGCACATGCCTATCAATTGATCCGAACAGGTGCCAGTAGCAACAAAATCATTTGTGACATTGGCACAGCCAATTAGATCCATGCAGCAAATATAGGGCTCGAGGGTTTCGGGATCCAGGCCGGCAATAACGGGCTCAACAAAGAATGGGCCAAATCGATGCTCATAAAGCAAATGGGAGAGTAGTTCCGTCAAGACTTTCGGCGACACTTCACGACCCTCATTGATCTCATAAACATTCTTGCGATACATCAGACGATTGTAGACAGTCATAATATCCGTCTGCAGGCCAGTCAAACCCAAATACAAACGTGGCGATAAATGGAAAACCTTCTGACAATCCTCGCCAGCGGTGTGCGACTGCAGGCCAAATCGACGATCCGTGGCAATGGCAATACAATCCTTGCCCTGCATGGCAATTACACAGCCCCCATTATATGTAACCTTATTAGAAGTAGTCATTTAGCTTGAATTGGAGAAAGAACTATATATGTACTACAATAATCCTTGTAGAGTAGTTCTGTGTGTGTGAAAAGTTTGTGATGAAACGATTGATTTCCAGACGAGCTCATAAAAGTTTAAGTTCTTTTCATAGATTGCTTAGATTTCTGGCGATGAAGAATGCCTGATTGAGTGGCCGCATTGCAATTATGTACCCCATAAACTCGTGAAACAAATTTTTCTGCTAAATTCTGGCCAGAATATAAAGTTTCGAGCATTGCAAAAAGAGTTCCTTTAAAAGAAAAAAAGCAACAGAGTCATTAAAAACTTGTACGAAAAGTTTTTTTCGGCATACTTAAAGTTCTAATTCCACTGCACTCTTATCAGCTGTATTGCACATGAATGCATATACCAACACCAGCACACACACACTCACACCTACACGTTTACCTACAAGCAGATTGCATCACATGCCCCTTTTGTGCGGCAACTTCCGCATTGAAGTCAACCCCTTTGCCTCCGACTTCCTGACAGGACTTCCATGACTTTTGCCTCGTACAGCTCTCGTCTGGTAAACTTTGACTTTGACTGACGGCATTTGTCAGCGGCAGACACAAAGTAATCATTACTTGGCGCGCATTACGTCTGCACTTGCATTATAGGAACGCAGCGGGCGCACTAAGCGTATACTTTATATTAAGAAAATAAGTGCCTGTCAGCGTAGTTGGCGCCCAACGTGGGCCAGTTACCCACAACACACGCTCGACAGAACCTCACATGCCAACGAAAAGTGCAAAACGGTGTCAAAGTCAACGACATAAACATCATCAGCGACAACAACATTTTGTTCATCAAGGCGCATGAGTGGGTGTGGAAAGACGGGCAACTGCAGCTGGCGATGAAGTCGTCCCGTCTGCAACACTCCAAGTGTAAAGTGTTGCAACGCCAACTTGACAACTTGAGACAAATTGAGATGTTGTTTTTTACACTTCTGCATGCAAACGAGAGGAGAATTGATGCGGTCCTCGACCGACTGACTCGTATAAAGCAAATAAGGTGCATCACAGCTGCATTCTAAGTAGTTTCATGTGTAACTGGCGTGTGCTGAGATGTAGGTCAATCTAGTATACATATATATATCTTGTCGGATATTTATAGAATAGTTCCACTTTAGGCTTATAAGTGCCGTCCTTGAAGAGAGAGTAAGATTTTATTAGAAATTTATTGAGAATCCAAACAAAATTAACATATAGCTCTGATAAGTTATTTAGAATGGAATCCACTAAACAGATTCCAGATCGTTTACACTTTTCTTGCTTTTATGATGATGATTTTCGACAGAACAAAAATGAAGCACACAAAAATCTGATTATTTCATTAAGCTTAAAGACAATAATCATTTTAGAAATATTTTTAAACTTCAAATAATTTGTTCAAAGCAACCAAACTTTTGAAAACATTTTTATATTAAAATAAAAACATTTGCTAAAAATTAATATTTGGAAATTCCGACGATAGAATGAATATAAGAAAAGGGAAACTCAAAAAGAATGCAATAAAACAACTTTTTCACATTGAAATTATTTGAGTTATAATTGCCTAAAATGAGATTAGCACTAAATATAATTTTAACCTTTTCCAAGAAGTTTGTGCACATGGTGGTTTGAGAATTGGAAGACTTAACCATTCACAATCAAGCGCCTCATCAATCGAGCCTGACCAAAATGCACAACACAAAACTCAATTCCAACAGCCGCAAACGGAACTCGAAGAACTGGCCACGAGAGAGAATAAAAAAGAAGTTAAAGCAACACATAACACAGTAGCAAACGAAAAAGAAGGAAAGTTGAAGAAGGAGGTGCTGAGAAGCTGTGTTTTAGGCTCTAGGCTGCAGGCAGCTTTGGATTAACAGTCGGGCACTTGGCTGCTTGAGCTGCCGTTGTGGTTGGCAAGAGCCGCAGAAAGAAACTACATTGCTGGATTTGTGGAGCCCAATGTAAAATCGAGAATGGAGCCGCCTTAGGGCTTGGGCGCTACAATCCTCTTCTGCTCCCATTGAGCTCTACACTTTGAAAACCGATGCCAAAACACATTAAGCCCGATGGCTTTGAAGCCGCTTGCAGCGGCAGTTAGCAACTTGAAAAGGCTACAAAAGTCAAAAGCCAGCGTTTGCACGGCAGAAGTGCTAGGAAAGTGGAAAATAGTAGGGGCGTGGCACGCCTTTTGTTGACGCGTCTGTTGTGTTGGTTTTACGCGTATGTGCCTCCCTCAACTCCAACTTTTATGCCTGCTTTCCTTGCTTAATGATAGTGGCCACAAAGCCAAATATGCCGCTTTCTAACGCTCTGTTGCCAGCCTTCCCTCTTCTTCGTCTGCCGCTGGCACTGAGCAAACCCGTAATCGCGGCTGCAACTGGAGCACAAAGTCAAAAACAAATGGGCTTGGTTAAAGCCCGCAGTAAAGCGCCGGATTTTTCTTCTTTTTTCTCCTTCAATGTAATGCTGTACAAATGATTACGAACTTAAAAAGTGTTAGAAGAGCAGGACCAAGTATGTTAAAAAGGAGCCGTTTCTAAGCAAAGTGTCAGCGCAGCAAGAGAAGCAAATACGAGAACAAACCGATAGTTCCTCGAGGTACCCTGTAGCATGTGTGTGTGGAAATGTGAGTATCGACAAAATTGGTGCTGCATTTGACAATTTGAAGTGGTGCAAATGTACTTAGTAATGTAAGGAACTGAATATCCGCATAATAAACTTTCAAATGTTATATCTTCATAAATAGGACGACTTAAAATTTAATTCTTATTCTTTCCTTTTAAGGGAAACTTTATGAAACCTCGTGAAGCGTCCCTATTATTATTAACATGACTGTTAGTTCAATGTATTCACATATTTGTTTAATAATTTTGAATAATACTTGTCAACTTTTATTTTTGTAAGAGCCATGTGCATGCCATCTAACAAAAGCTGTTGCACACATTTGTGAATGACTGTAAAAATCCAACGCAGCTTAGTATGAGTTAAAAATCATTTTGAGCTAAATGAAGTTAAATAAATAAAATAAATAAATGGCATGGATTTCAGAGAAAGAGAATAGCTCTTACGGAAAATAAAATGCCACAAAATATAAAAAAAAAATAAGAAAAATATCGCTTCAAGAAACCTATAAAAATACTCTTAAGTCTTGGCACTGAATGTTATTGAGCTTTTTTTTATTGATTCACCTTTAGACAGATCTATTAGTTATGTCAAAAGAGTTAAATAATTCATCCCGCATTCTGTGATTAAGACTCTGTCTTAATGCAAAGTGCATTAAGGATTTAATGCCTTATACAAATGGCCAGCACAAATTTAATTATCTGGCTTTGCTTGAATGCCGCAGTATTCAAACATAAGACGTGTAATGAAAATACCTGAATATATTTATATAGATATATGTATGTGTTTACATATCTGTCCGTATATATGTGTGCTATCATAAGGCATCTCGAGTATTTCATTAAAATGAATATTTCTTGCCTGCAGCAAATTTTCTTGTTAATAAGTAAACACGAATGCGCGATTTAAGTGAAACCCAAAAAATTAACCATCGAAAAAAAGAGAAATAAAGGAGAATATAATTACAATGGCAACGAATGGAAAGCCAGAAAAGTGTGTGGGGATAACCGGAAAATATGCAATGCGAACTTCCATTACATTGTCTGGCGTCCCATAATTGATTTTCCACGGTCAGGCACAGAGTAAACGCATACCCTACATACCCTGTTTTACATGTGAACACAGCGGGAAAGAAAAGCCATGTGAGAAGGAGATGGATGCAGGCATTTGCTGGACCCTTTATCTCTGCATTCATTTGCGAAATTAACTGCAAACGTTGCCAGCAAATGGCGGCTGAAATGAATCCTTCTTCTATTCAGTGCCTTGAATAACGCTAAATGCAAGCATCTTCAGCTCCGACAAAGGCCTGAAGTATGCAAGGCCTTACAAATTTTTGCCTAAACAAAGGTAGCGCTCAACAACAAAAACAGCGGACTCAAGTGCTGCCTGCAAAGAGCCTCTCGAGGCCCACAGCTCAACTGAAGTTCAACTTGCTGCTCATACACAACGCAGCATAATTATTTCTTCACTTTCCTCTCTGTTTTTTTTTTTTTTTTTTTTTTTTTTTTTTTTTTTTTTTTTTTTTTTTTTTTTTTTTTTTTTTTTTTTTTTTTTTTTTTTTGCTCTAAGATTAAATGCCAAATACCAAGGCTGGGATAGCTGAAAAAGTAAACAGATTAGCGAATACTCTAAATGAAATACTTGAAAAATAAGGTTTAAGGTCTTTTCTTACAGCTTTAAAACATTCGAAGAAATGCGTGTTTAAAGGTATCTTAAAAGTTAAAAAATAGATTATTACTGTTGAAGTTTTTGGTACCTTAACATAAATAATATCTTAATATAAAACATCTGTAAACATATTTTTATAAAATTATTTGTGATGAGTCATTCAATAGACTAAGTGGACACTAAGCTAAAATATCCGAAAATTCCACCCGCATGTGTGAAAAATTGATGGAAAAAGGTACTATTATTAACTTATTAACTTGAACCCAATTTACGTCAATCTTAATATAATGCTATTGAGACGCCCTCAAAAACGAAGTGATCTGACAAAGTAAGCCACGAAAGTTCATTAGAAACTTAATAAGGAAATGTGTAGGCGGGTAATTCAAAGTTTTCCTACAAAATGTTTTTAGTTCAAAATTATATGACTTATTTAACTAATAGGTGTTTCACATACGCTGCTAGGATAGAATGAGTTTAAACACATGTTCGTAGAAACACGATTAGTTAAGTGTTCGCCTATTATGAATACTCCACTTCTATAGACGAAATATACTGAATATATTTTTAATTCATTTATAATTCACTTTCCCAACATACACAAGTGAAATTTAAATCTAAAGGCTAGGCATAAGCGAGTAAGCAAAACGCATAAAAAAGTTATGAAGCCACGCCTTTCATAAGGTAAAATGGACTGCTGCGGGCAACTTAGTGGCAGGATAAGGCGACAGCATTTTCTCCTTCCCTTCTTTATCCTGTTGAGGCTGATAAAGATGCAAGTTG